GCCCCCCCCCGCCCAGCCTCCTCCCATGGCCTGGCCTGAGCCCCCCCGTCCGGTCCCCTCCCTCGGGCTTTGCCAGTGCCCCCCCCTCTGGCCCCCTCCCCCCGGGCTTGGCCAGTGCACCCCCCGCCCTCCCCCCCATGGCCTGGCCTGGCCTGAGCCCTCCTGGATGTGGCCTGAGCCCCCCGTCCGGCCCCTCCCCCGGGCTTGGCCAGTGCCCCCCCCGCCCAGCCCCCTCCCCCCACATATGCCTGGCCTGAGCTCCTCTGTCCACCTCGTCCGGACCTGGCCTGAGCCCCCCCCGTCCGGCCATGGCCTGGTCTGAGTCCGCCCGCCCGTCCTGGGCTTGGCCTGTGCCTCCCACCCGCCCCCTTGCCCTCCTCTGGCCTGGTCTGTGCCCCCAGTCCGCTCCTACGCCTCCCCCTCCCGGGCCTGGCCTAGGCCCTCAGCCTCTACACTCCTGAGAGCAAAACAGGAGGGTGTTTCCCTGCGCAAGACCCTATCTCTGCTCCCTCACGAGGGCTGCACAGCGGGGTGTGGGAATGGGGGGGTGATTGTAAAACCACAGAAAATGGTGAGGGGATCTTGGGGGTGGATGTAGAACGTGATGCTCGTTTATTTAATTGACATGACTTCGATTGACTGTCTCTTTAGAGCTGTGTATGGATCCCTCAAGGGTAGGGTTATAATAGACAACATACAGATAGAGACCTTCAGGAAAGAAAGGGGAGTGACAGAGATGTTGCCTTGCCCTGTCCAGCCTGTAGACATCAATGACTGACCAACTCTCTTGAAACAGTTCTCCAAACCAGGGCTCTGACTGAACAACAGAGGTAGAAACTGGGGATGATATGCTCACCCACATAAGCTGGCCTCCAGAGAAACTGACAACAGTTAGAAGCATATGGCAATGCTTGGACTTTGCAAGTCAATTTAGGATAAACAAAAAATGTTCATCTACAAAATGCCCAAAGACCAGCCGACTAAACTATGCTTTATAAATGCTGGGGTAGAACCCACACGGAGCTCTACCTAGATGGGCCTCGGAAGTGCAGACTGCTGACAACCACAGGAGCAGAAGAAGCCTGTAGGGCTTAAGTGGCATTAACAAAAGCCACAGGCTAAATATCGACCACCAGAAAACTACTATGAAAATGACCTGACAGCATAATCCAACCCGTCCTGGAATATGGAAGCAAAGCCAGGGGCCTGACCTTAACGGCCATCTACAACAGCTGGGGCAAGAAACCTACAGTCCCGCAAGCAAATTATACATGTGTACAAGAATTCGCCCAACGACGGCTGGACAGAACGGAGATTTTTTTTTCTCTTTAGACCATATGAAAAGAGCACTCGGTTTCTGGTGTCTCCACACTCAAAGCAGCTAAATGTCTACGCTATATAATTACTCCAGGCTTCAACAGCGCTGCCTTTGGGGTCAGTGACAGTGGGTTGTGGAGGGGGTGTAGGCAGGAGGAGCTTTGGAGAAGGGATGGAGATGTGAGCAGAGGGGGGCAAGGATGTATGTGTTAAAGGCTGCGCTCTTTTTCTAGCCAAAGGGGAAGGTGGGAACCAAAGGCAAAAAGCAGATTTTTGAAGAGAACAAGGAGACTCTGAAATTCTACCTGCGGATCATCCTTGGTGCTAATGTGAGTGTCTCTCCCCATCAGTCTTCCAGGGCTATGAATTCCAGTCTACGGCTATTGGCTGCAAAGGCAAATCCAAGCATATTGGTCAGGAAACTGCTTCCTTCCCAGATGCCTATTTTGTCCCATCCTTTTGTGGGGCCTTAGGGGTCGAAGGGTTGGGGGAATTGAAGAAGGGATTCCTTCTCTGGCTGGCAGCTCCATTTCAGTCAGGGCGAACATGAAAAGGGCCGTATGGCCTCACGTAACTTCTGCACTTGGGGGCTGTCGGGGGAGCAGTGACACTTGCTGAGTCCCCAGAGACCTGGGGAAAGAGCTGACACCTCTGTCTCTCAGTGGAGGTGGAATGGTTTTAACTTCCAGGAATGGGTTAGCAGGGAGGGAGCTGACCCAAACCTGGCCTGTAGTGAGGGATTGCAGGTTGGGAAGTGCACCTTCTCCCACCCAGCGCTCTGAAAGCTCGGGGGTGGGGAAGACTTTCTTTGGGTTTTTATTTTGTGGGGAGGAGGAGAAATGTACAGCCCCACATGACAGAAACAATCCCCCAAACTCCATATATGTATTGGCCTATTGCGTACTGTAAAGGCAGGTGTGGCTAGGAGGTCTGAAGGAGCTAAGAACTAGCACTAGGAAAGCAAGGAGCTCTCCTTCGCCTTAAAGCTTTCACCCCTAGTCAGACTAACATTTCTGCTCTGCTGGAGCCAGCTCATAGGCTTGTGGCTTGCCTGGCTCTGAAAACTGTCTGGATCCAGGGAGCTCTCTGGAGCGTTCCTTTTCCAGCGTCGTAGGGCAATAGATCTTGGAGAAGCAGGCAAGGTGCAAGCGGGGGTGACCCTCTGAGACTCAGGCCATTTTTCATGATAGCATATTGGGAGAAGGCCCAAAGCTGTCCCGTCCCTGAGGTGTTCCTTCCCCTCACACTCGCTCATTCTGGCTGCTTGGCTTTATTTCCCATGTCTTCAGGCCATTTATGCAGTTGTGAACCTGGTGATCTTCTACACAACAGCCTCCTTCTGGACCTGGGTAAGTCCTTGATCTTTGACCCTTCCCTGTTCAGGGTGGAGAAAGCGAGGGGGTAACACCTGCTGGGGTATTTGTTCCAGTCTCTCGCCCTTCCTTCTGCTTCTCCCTGGGGCTGTGAGGAATCTTTACTGGCTGTTCAAACAGCGCCCCTCAGATCTCCTGTTGGGGTTAGTGTGGAGTTTGGCATTCACTCACACTGTCTTGGGCCTGCTGCCCCCTCATTGTTTCCAGGTTGCTCTGATAGGCAGTGCATAAGCCATGTTTCCCTGGAGACACAGACCCCGTGAGGGGCTTTTACCCAGCTGAGACGAGAACATCTTCACTGATCAGAAATGTCAGTACAAATAATTGCTGTGGGGCTCTGCTCCGCTCCTGCTGCTTTACCCTATGGGCTGGTCGCTTTCATGGCTGATCTTTCTTTGCTTGTTGCAGGTTGCGTTTGTGTTTAGCATGGTGATCTACGGTGCCAGTTACCGCTCCATGAGCTCCATGGCAAAGGCGTCTTTCACGGACGATGGCAACCTTGCTGACGGGGGAATTGACCTGAATATGGAGCAGGGGATGGCAGAGTGAGTGTCCACACCCACACGAGTCCAGGTGAGCAGGACCTGCTGCCTGAGCGCGTACACAGACCCATTTACCCCTGAGAGCGTGGGAAGAAGCATAGCAGAGCCTCAGCTCGGAGACCATCCCACAGAGTTCACTTGCTCTCCCCAGCGGGAAACTTTCTAATCATTCTTGTCATTTCCCAAGAATCCTTCGAACTGTCCTCGTTGCTTGAACGTCTAGCTCCGCCTCCAGGAAGTGAGTAACGGGGCACCCCAGGAAGTGTGCTAGGCTGAGATAGTGACTTGCTTAGGGCCTTCACTAGGCTGGATGGGTGAGCGTACCCAGCTGCTCCGCCAACTCCTCCTTTGCCCTTTGGCTTCTCTCCTGGGGTGTTACATTCTCTAGCAGAGGACAGCTCTTCCCCTGCCCTTTGACTGAGGGGGATGTTTAGGGCTCTCCAAAGTTCTTTTCCTTGGATTGGCTGCCTGAAGCACCTATGCAAGAGTTGTTTCCTTAGAACAAAGTAAGACCTATTAAAAAGAGAGACAATGGAATTAAAAGAAAAGCAAGCTTGCTTAACAGACCTTGAATTATATGTCTGAGCTAAGCTAACTCAGGCACCCTCAGCTTGCTTACAGGAAAGACCAGACGATTGTGTGTAGTCGAGAGCAAGTCCTTGCTCTCTGGCCTCTCCTCGGAGATCCAGCCCACGCTTTCCAGAGAGAGTCAGTCCCCTCCACCTATTTGTCAAATCTTTGTTAAAGGTCCTCACCATCCGAGGTGAAGCATTCTGGTTGTGTGTCTGTTCCTTTCCCCACCCTGCATCTGTCTGCTGTGTTTCGATTGTCAGCTCTCTGGGGCAGGGACTGAGTGTGTCTGTGTGTGTTCAGTGCCCAGCCCTGTTCTCAGGCCCGGGGCGCTCCCAGGAGGAAGAGAGCCAGGCAGTAGGAGGCGCTGGTGGGGCAGGCAGTCTGCTCCAGGGTGAGCTGGGTAAGTATCAGAGTGAGGGGAGTACACACAAAGTCTCGCTCCTAGGGATGGAAATATCGTTTAAAAAGTTAACCAGTTAAACGATTAAAATTATATCGTTGAACCGGTTAACCAAGGTGGCTCTAGCGGGGCCGGGGGCTGAGTGTTAGTGGTTACGGTTGGTTAACGGTAAGACTAATGTTAACCGTTTAACCTTTTACGTCCCTGCCTCCTTCCCACGATGCCCTGTACGGTACGGTGATGTCACCATAGTGGTCTGTCGCGGCGTGTCAGCTGATGCCAGGACAATCGGGGGGGTTAACGTGCAGGCTTGGGCAGATGGCGCCGCGTTGCTGTATGTTCAGGAGGCCCCCTTCTGACAGACAGGCAAGAAATGGCACCTTTTTAAACCTGGAACTAAAATTCTGTGGAAAACGTTGAGGGGAAAAACTGAATTCCACTGGGAGGCCCAGGGTGGCATCCCCTCCCTGAAGGCATGTCTGCAGCATTGAATGTTAAGGCTCTGCTGATGGGTGGGAACCAGGGGCTTAGAACTGCAGAACCATCCCAACCTGACTGCACTGTTGCCATCCCAACTCTGCGACTCCTCCTGTTGCCCTCTGTGTCTGTTGCACATGTTGGCAAAGTTGACATTGCAGCTAAACCAAAGACTTTCTCAAACTTTCTGGGCAAGGGAGGACTCAGGCAAGGAGAGGTGGGGGAAGAGGAGGAAGTTGGCTACCACCAGAAAAAGAAACTGCTCGTGTGTTGGTGCAAGGGCCGCTTGCACTATAGCTTCTGGCGCAACTGGCCTGGGTATCGCCACCTCACCCACTTGGTTTCTCCCTTGTCTCCTTACTACTTAGTGTCTCTCTCGCTCTCATTGGCCACTTACCTCTGGAAAGCTTGCTGGGGCCTTTGTGTGACGCACACTGTACAGGGCAGAGCGGTAGTGAAACAACGGAACCATCTGATCTTTCCTGAAATCCTCCTAGTACGATGGGAAATTGTTTGGCTGGATAATGATAGTGCTCCAGATGTGACACGTGGCCTGGTGCTTCACAATACAAGCTGTGTGATTGGCAGGGATGGGACTTTTATTGGCTTGTTCTAAAAAGTGAAGGTAAAGGATTGTATATGTCCCTTGAATCCACAGCTCATGTAAGTTCTATCTCTCCTGTTACAACTGTCCTGAGTTACTTTTGCCTGGCAGTAGAGAGAGTTCTTAGCCTGATATACTACAATTCACTGCCTAGAATAATTTTTGTCCAAGATGAATAATAGTGCATGCAAAAACCCACTATTAATGCAGCATAGATGTGCTAAGAGACACCGAAGTCACCAAATGCAAAGTTATGGTTTACTGCTCCACTCTGCCCCCTTGTGTTTGTGCATTGGAATAGTCTCCAGTGATGTGATCTCTGGGTTTTCCCGTATTTTACTGCGCACTTTTTTCCAGCAGAGTCAGAATAGGTGTGCAGTGTGTTAGGACTAATGTGCTGTACTCTCAGCTGTTCAGTTCATGTCAGTGTGCCATTTGAAACACTCCAAGAAGCATTGTTACACTTCCCTTTCACCTGACAGTCCTGTCACGTTTTACTTTGCCACAGGAACAAATGCTGACTTGAAACTGCTTTCTGTACAGTACTGATTGGAATGTATTTCCAGCGTCCCGTCTAACCCCAAAGAGGATTTTGCACGTTCCTCGAGGATGTGGTATAGGCAGTTGTTACTTGGGAGATCTAGGTTCAGTCCCCGTGGACAGTGGTGAGGAGAAATTCATTCCTGTTTGCGAGGTGCTCACGTGCTGTGTGGTCAGGTCCAGATCACTACCCAGAGAAGCTGTTTCCAAATGCTGGGTAGCTTGGTGCGGCACATACAGTGAGATATGCTCATTTCCGCTGGTGCAGTGTCTGTATGCCAGCCTACTGATTTCTTACTCTAGTACGTGTTGTTTCACGTGAGTGCCGGGGGTCGTGTTTCTCTTCTGTGCACGTTACAACGGTCTGGGTGTGTCTGAGCTGTGTAGAAGACAAACGTATCATGCTGTTCTGAGAGCTGCGATTCAGCCCACCCCTGCCAATGGCTCTCGCTGTTTGTGTGTTACCTCAATGGTTTTGTGTGTGGGAAATCAAAGGGGTGGGGTGGGAACCTGACCTGGGGTCAGATGAGTAATGGGCAGTTGACCCTCCGGCTGTTTGTGCCCCTTGGGGTATGTTTATCCATGGGATGCTGTGTTGTGTTAGCTCAGCAGCTGTGTGTATGTGGAGGGGCTAGCTGCTATGGCATGGGACTGCCCCGTGAAGTTTAACACCTCTCCTAGTGCTGCCGGTCAGGGTCCTGTGAGTGAGCAGGCTTCATGCAGAACACAGGCCAAAATTCATACGTAGCTGCCTGTAATGGCGTTGATCATTTTTTCTCCCATTCAGACAGGCCTGCCCTGCCCCTCCGCTGGGGAGCCTAAAGCCCTATTTGAGTCTTCTGAAGACACTATTTCTCAGAGGCCCTAACTCACATGGCAGAATGGGGAATTGAACACATGGTTTCCCAAAGCCATGGGACTGTTCCTGCCCAAAGGAGAACTGGGAAGGGCTAGAGGGGAGCCCAGTAGCTTTGTAGTGGCAGCAGAATTGTAGTGTTGACGACAGGGTTTGGACTGCAGATGTTCAGTACAGAAAACGGGCCCTGGCTCAGTGCAATTAACCTGTTGCTTTTCCCGTTCCTCTCAGGCATCTCAAGGATGTGATCCTACTGACAGCCATTGTCCAAGTGCTCAGCTGCGTCTCTCTCTATGTCTGGTACTTCTGGCTCTTGGTAAGTCTTTGGAGCCCTTCTCCCTACCCCCAGATTCAAACCTTGCCTTGCTCTCCCTTCCAGCTCTGCTCCAGTTCATAGACTCCACAGCCAGAAGGACCGAGGCTGCCCACCTGTATAGCACAGGCCAGAGACCTGCCCCAGCAGAATTCCCAGAGCAGATTTTAGAAAACCCGCCAGTCTTGGTTTAAAAATGGCCAGGGATGGAGAAGCCACCACGGCCCTTGGTAAATTGTCCCAGTGGTTAATTACTCTCGCTGTTTACACCTTATTTCCATTTCATTTCTCACCCTCCCTTCCCAGCCTAGAGCTGGTTTTTGGTAAACCATGCAGCCCTCCCCCAATCTTCTCCAGAAGAGAGTGCCGTTATGCACGGGAACGCTGAGGCCTGCCGGAGTTTGGGTGCCACCTCTCTGAAAGCCCTTGGACAGTGAGAGGCCCAGCGGGCAATGATCGATGGGGGAGGGGCATTTGGGGCAGAGTCCAGGATGTCTTGGGATGCGCATTGATACTTTACATGTGCGTGGTGAGGGGTGAGCTGTGAGTACTTACCTGCCTTGCCTTGCCCATGTCGGTGCAGGGGCAACCCTGACTGAACTGGGGAGCTAGTGAGTGCTCAGCACCCCTGAAAATCAATTTTTATTTTTATTTTTTTCCCCTTCTAACTTATCAGACTTTAACACCTGGCACAGGTAGACGTACATCAAAACAGAACTTCCTGCATAGACTGATTATAAACCGCAACCTGATTATTACCTAGCTTTGTCACCAGTGGGTCTGTGTGGCAGAAGCCACCTGTTATAAATGGCTGGCTGACTAAAACATAACTCAGAATATTTTCCTTTGTCGGCGGAGCAGCCTCGTGTCTGACCCCTGTACTGGGCGTCTTGTCAGGAGGAATAGACTGAATTGAATAAGCACTGAAATGGAGTAGCCCATATTCTCCTGTTCCGAGGAGCAGTCCTCCTGGAATGGGGGCGAGCCCGTTGGTGGGAAGTGGGGCCTGGTCTGTGGAGATCTTAGGAACTGAAGCCAAGATTTTCATGACTAGGCTCCGATCATGAGGCCTCAAGTCTATATTTAGGCCTATATAAAGAAGCGGGTGATTCTCAAAAGTGCGGAGCCCCTGCAGCTCCCATTGACTGCGGCACGTATCTAGGGGCACCTTTCACCCGCACTGACGTCATTACAGACTAGACCCAGGTCTGGATGTAGAATCAGCTTCTCCAGAGCTCTGCGGTCCCTGGTAGCCGAGTGGCGTCCTACAGTAACTGAGTTTGCTGCCTGTTGTGCTTTGTAGGCGCCAGGACGGGCTCTCTATCTCCTGTGGGTGAACATCCTGGGGCCCTGGCTCACGGCCGACTCTTCAGCTGCCACCCAGGAGCCAAATGAGAAGAAGCAACGCCGTCAGGAGCGCCGCCAGATGAAGCGTTTCTAGCTACGCACGTGGGGGTGGATTCGATCTAATTCACCATCTCCACCTGGTTACTTCATCAGGGATGCGATTTAAACCAATCAGAAACCATCACAGTGTCTGTCACCCTCTCATCAATCCATTCCACTCTAAAGGCTGCCAGAGACTTCCCTTGACTGCTTCTGATGGTCACGTCAGGGGCTGCTCCACCACTTGGGGCCTTACTTGACAAGGGGGAGGGAGGTTACGATGGGATATGTGTAAATAGCTTTTTCAAGCAATGGTGTAATGAGTTTGGGGATTGGGAATTGCCTTGTTGGAGGAAATATATTAAAGAGGAGAATCTAAGCGATGGGACTGGGGGCCGATGTTTGCTTCAGGGTCAAACTTTGCAACAACAAAAAAATTACCAGCAGGCGGAGATGAGAGCTGGAAAATGTCATGCCGCCAAGGGAAAGTTTGACAAAGTTCTAAGCAATGGAGAAAGGATGTTCAAAGTGGAGCTGGCTACTCTCACTGAACTATCACTGACAGGCTGGGACCATTCACAATAGTCCCCCAGCACTGCCAGAAGCTGGTGGTCAGATTTCAAGTTCTGGGGTGACACCTTCCCCCATTTCTTCGCTAGTCCCCTAGTGAGGCCTCCAGCGTCACTGACACTTCCCATGTAAACACGAGTGGGAAAAAATCTTTATTGTGGGAATTAAAATCCTCCTTACAGCTGAGGAATGGTTAAGGGCAAAGGCATTTTTACAGGCAATGTCTAGACCAAGAGTGGGAAGCAAATAAGCAGTTGATTGAGTTCTGGTGCAGACTGTGCTGACCAGAGCGCCTGCTGATGAGGAAATATCGCGCTGTCAATAGCTTTTCATGGCATGCAGCCCAAATTGGATTTCTTTAATAATATCCAGTTCCCTCTCACCAACTAGAGAAGTCACTCCGAGCTGTCTGGCTTCCCCTCTCCCCAGGTACTACAGTGATGAGCACAGTATAAGAACCAATCTAGACTAGAACAGACCTGGTGCTCCTTCATCCTCTCGTCCAGCTCTGCTCCTCCAACACCTCACGCCCTTCCACCCTCCCTGACCAAGCCACCGCTCCCTCCGAGGGTTTTAATCTATGATCTGCAGACTTCACAGTCCTCTCAGTGATTCCTAGAGCAACATTTCTCTTCTCCATCTTGGATTTGGGCTGTTTAACTATCTTCCATCATCCTTCCCTCCCCCTGCAACAGCATTTAAAAAACACAACCCCCAAAGCACCTCTGGTGCTAGTTCCCTCCCGTGGCATTGCATGCATCTTAGCCATCGTCCCCTCCCCCCCCCCACCGCTGCATTCCATCCTGCTAAGCCATGTCCTGCTGCAGGAATCCACCCAACCGGCTCTCCCTTTGCAGGACCCGATGCGGAATGGATGGGAGGAAGCCCTGAAATGGCAGCCTGCCTCCTCCAGGTGAGGACTGACCTGCCGACCAGTCACAAAATGAATCATAAATACGCAGGCCCCTGGGCACCCTAAATGCTTGGGACGGCTGCAGTCAGACACGCACACAAGACAACTCCCTTTTGTGCCAAAGGCTTCCCGTCCACAAGGCCGTGTGGCCTGGGAAATGGGACTCTGCCATGGGGCAGGCAGGGCAGGACCTCGCAGACCTGGTCAGTCCGGCAGCAACTGCTCAAGCTCCTCCTTGTTCAGTCTGTTGGTGGCGATGATATGGTCCAGCTGCTGCCTGTACCGTTCCATGTCCTGCATGAAATGGGGGATTCGCGCCTTCTCCAGAACCCCAAATTTCTTCAGCTGATTCACATCTTCGTAGGAGACCTGGTGGAAAGAAAACAGATGTTTCAGGCCCTCAGGCCAGCCATCCAAGGGGATCTCTGCACACACGCAGCCCCGCATGCGTTCTGATTCACTCACCTCCTGCTAGAGTATCTGGGGGAGGGCTGCTAATGTAACTGCACCAGCCCGAGCCTTACTGAGAGGGCACCACATGGTAGCAAGAATGGCTGGAACGTTCCCAGGAATTCCAGGCACCTGAGCTACATGGTCGCTCTGGCCAGGAGGGATGGGGGGCTGTGACCCACCAGCTCCAGACTCTAGGGTGGGGTGACGTGGAGGGGTCACGGAGAGGCTTCCAACAGATACTCTGATTTCTCGCTGCAGTGCATGAGACCCAACGAGCTGTGCAGATAGTGGAGCCTGGCAGGTCAGGTTCCCATCTGGAGCAGAAATTGCTGATATGGAGGCAGGTGACACAGCACAGGCACGTTCTCTCAGGCCCAACAAACACCGGCTCATTTGGACTGACAGGAACTCATCGTGCACCTGGTGGGGCTGCAGCGAGGGCCAGGTACAGGGTGGGCCGGCACCGCCTTGCTCAGCCACAGAACAAACAGAAATAAGCACACCCTTATCACCGTGACAGGGACCAGAGCACCTACCCTAGGCCTACATCAGCAAATGTATCGACGTGAGCCCCGCAGTTAGAAATGGGTCAGGCCAGAGCTTCAGAAATACACATTAGCCTCTGACTGCCCAGGCCAAGCTAAACCAAAGAAGGACCCACAGAGTCTCTCGGGTGTGGTGACATTCTTGGGAGACTCCCCAGGTAGGCTGGTTAATTTGCTGGTTTTTGTCACCTCACACTGCTGGTACCTCATCTTTGTGATCAGGAAAAACGCAGGCCCAGGGTAGCAAGTGACACCTGTGTCTAAAAGCTCTTCTGTGCGGTAGAGATACGGGAGCGCGACATGACCGATTCCACTGGGTGAGAACCAATGCTGACACGGCCATTAGCACGGGGTGAGCCTGTCTGAGTCTGCTCAAATCTCAGCACCATACGGAGGGGGAGGGCATAGGCGCCGACTTCCCCTCTTTTCCGTGGGTCTCCACCCTGCCCCCAACCCCACTCTGCCCCTTCCATGAGGCCCCGCCTCTTCCTCACCCCCATTCCAACCCCTTCCCCAAAGTCCCCGCCCCAACTGAGCTGACCAGAGATCCTGAGTCTGAAAGTCCTCCCCGGCCAATAGATGAAGCATCTGTGACTAGGGTCACTGACGGGAGGGTTGGGGAAAAGGGAACCCGTTGTGTACACTGGCAAGGTCCAGCCAACAGTCCAGGGATGAGAGGAAACTTGCATGTATGAGAGTCAGCACGTCCTGTGGATGCCGAGTGGGACAGCAGGCAGCCTTCAACCACCTCGGCAGGACTCTGCGGAGAAGTCTGGCACGCTGAGCCACGTACGTGCAAGCTGCCACGTGACCGAGACATCTCAGGGAACTCCTCACTGTCACACGAGCATACGCTTTGCAGGCTTTGTATGAGACCGATACTGCCGGAAACCTGGCCTGAGGTACAGAGGGGCTCGGTGTGATCTGCTCAAGAGACACTCCTGGGAATTCAACTCTCTGGACAGGGAGAAGAGAGTTACTTACTGTGACACTGAGACCCATTGGCGCCAGCAAAGGGGTCACTGCCTGGCTCAGACCTGACAAACTCACTGTGCCTAATACACTGCGTCCAAGGTATTTATCCATGAAGGGCAGCTTGTGAGGTCTCTGCTGAAAGCTTGTAACGGATCGATGCTCAATCATTACAAGCTGTGTGCACGGGTTATATTTAAGGGATAATGTAACTAGAGGTTTCAGAGTAGCAGCCGTGTTAGTCTGTATCCGCAAAAAGAACAGGAGTACTTGTGGCACCTTAGAGACTAACACATTTATTAGAGCATAAGCTTTCGTGGACTACAGCCCACTTCTTCGGATGCATATAGAGTGGAATAAATATTGAGGAGATATATATACACACATACAGAGAGCATAAACAGATGGGAGTTGTCTTACCACCTCTGAGAGGCCACTCTATATGCATCTGAAGAAGTGGGCTGTAGTCCACGAAAGCTTATGCTCTAATAAATCTGTTAGTCTCTAAGGTGCCACAAGTCCTCCTGTTCTTTTTGTAACTAGAGGGAAAACTAGGCCGTTATGGGTCTTGAGGAAAGCCCATTGAAGTGGGAAGTGACTGCCACCCCCCCTCGCTGGCTAGCCAATTACATACCGTATAGTGCTGTTGTCCACCACTGCAGCAGCCCAAACGGTCAGTGGCAAATCATCGACGATACACTATCAGCCCACTGAAGTGAGACGGGCTGCTATGGCAGCGAGGGGACAGCCCTCCGCAGAAAGGCAAAGGACTGATCAGTGTCTCACAGGGTGGAGAGAGACATGCTGCAGCATCCAGCCACTGAGAAAGAACCTGGGGGAGTGGCGGTGCTGCAAGGAAGATGCTGGCCTAGCTCCTGGGGACTAGCAAATGCTGCAAAAGACTGAACTGTCAGGAGAGAATCTACCTGATTGGCTCGGAAAGGTCACTAGTAATAAGTGTCAGCCCTAGTTGGTGTTTTATGGTTGTTTTATATGTAACCATTTGTTTCCCTCACTCACATTTGCATCCATTCTCTTTTTCATAGAAATTCAGGCCAGGAAGGGACCTGGATAGGTCTCTAGTCCAGTCCCCTGCACTGAGGCAGGACTATCTAGGCATCCCTGGCAGGTGTTTGTCCAACCTGTTCTTAAAAACCACTGAAAACAGAGATTCCACAACCTCCCTAGGTTATCTGCTCCAGTGCTTAACTACCCTGAAGTTAGGAAGTATTTCCTAATGTCCAACCCAAACCTCCCTTACTGCAGTTTAAGTCCATTACTTTTTGTCCTGTCCTCAGTGGTTAAGGAGAACAATTTTTCACCCTCCTCTTTATAACAACCTTTTATGTACTTGAAGACTGTTCTCATGCCCCTCCCCTCCCCGCAGTGTTCTCTTCTCCAGACTAAACAAACCCAATTTTTTCAGTCTTTCCTCACGGGTCATGTTTTCTAGACCATTCATCATTTTTGTGGCTCTTCTCTGGACTTTCTCCAATCTGTCCACATCTTTCCCGATGTGGTGCCCAGATGTAGACAATACTCCACTTGAAGCCTTACCAGTGTAGAGTAGAGTGGAAGAATTACTTTTTGTGTCTTGCTTAACAACACTCATAGAATCATGGAATATCAGGGTTGGAAGGGACCTCAGGAGGTATCTAGTCCAATCCCCTGCTCAAAGCAGAACCAACACCAACTAAATCATCCCAGCCAGGGCTTTGTCAAGCTGGGCCTTAAAAACCTCTAAGGATGGAGATTCCACCACCTCCCTAGGTGACCCATTCCAGTGCTTCACCACCCTCCTAGTGAAATAGTGTTTCCCAATATCCAACCTAGACCTCCCCCACAGCAACTTGAGACCATTGCTCCTTGTTCTGTCATCTGCCACCACTGAGAACAGCTGAGCTCCATCCTCTTTGGAACCCCCCTTCAGGTAGTTGAAGGCTGCTATCAAATCCCCCCTCACTCTTCTCTTCTGCAGACTAAATAATCCCAGTTCCCTCAGCCTGTCCTCGTAAGTCATGTGCTCCAGCCCCCTAATAATTTTTGTTGCCCTCCGCTGGACTCTCTCCAATTTGTCCACATCCCTTCTGTAGTGGGGGGACCAGAACTGGATGCAATACTCCAGATATGGCCTCACCAGTGCCGAATACAGGGGAATAATCACTTTCCTCGATCTGCTGCCAAAGTTCCTATTAATGCAGCCCAATATACCGTTGGCCTTCTTGGCAACAAGGGCACACTGTCGACTCATATCCAGCTTCTCGTCCACTGTAACCCTTAGGTCCTTTTCTGCAGAACTGCCGGCTAGCCACTCAGTCCCTAGTCTGTAGCAGTGCATGGGATTCTTCCGTCCTAAGTGCAGGACTCTGCACTTGTCCTTGTTGAACCTCATCAGATTTCTTTTGGCCCAATCCTCCAATTTGTCTAGGTCATACTGGACCCTGTCCTTACCCTCCAGCATATATACTTCTCCCCCCAGCTTAGTGTCGTCTGCGAACTTGCTGAGGGTGCAATTAATCCCATCATCCAGATCATTAATAAAGATGTTGAACAAAACCGGCCCCAGGACCGACCCTTGGGGCACTCTGCTTGCTACCAGCTGCCAACTACACACCAAGTCGTTGATCGCTACCCATTAAGCCTGACGATCTAACCAGCTTTCTATCCACCTTACAGTCCATTCATCCAGCCCATACTTCTTTAACTTGCTGGCAAGAATACTGTGGGAGACCGAATCAAAAGCTTTGCTAAAATCAAGATATATCACATCCACCACTTTCCTCATATCCACAGAGCCAGTTATCTCATCATAGAAGGCAATCAGGTTGGTCAGGCATAACTTGCCCTTGGTGAATCCATACTGACTGTTCCTGATCACCTTCCTCTCCTCCAAGTCCTTCAAAATGGATTCCTTGAGGACCTGCTCCATGATTTTGCCAGGGACTGAAGTGAGGCTGACCGGTCTGTAGTTCCCTGGGTTCTCTTTCTTTCCTGGGGCACTATATTTGCCTTTTTCCAATTGTCCGGGACCTCCCCTGATCGCCATGAATTTTCAAAGATCATGGCCAGTGGCTCTGCAATCACGTCAGCCAACTCCCTCAGCACCCTTGGATACATTAGATCTGGACCCATGGACTAGTGCATGTCCAGCTTTTCTAAATGGTCCTTAACCTGTTCTTTCTCCACTGAGGGCTGCTCACCTCCTCCCCACACTGTGTTGCCCAGTGCAGCAGTCTGGGAGCTGACCTTGTCTGTGAAGACCGAGGCAAAAAAAGCATTGAGTACTTCAGCTTTTTCCACATCATCTGTCACTAGGTTGCCTCCCCCATTCAGTAAGGGTCCCACACTTTCCCTGACCACCTTCTTGTTGCTAACATACCTGTAGAAACCCTTCTTGTTATCCTTCACATCCCTTGCTACCTGCAACTCCAATTGTGTCTTGGCCTTCCTGATTACACGTCTGCATGCTCAAGCAATGTTTTTATACTCCTCCCTAGTCATCTGTCCAAATTTCCACTTCTTGTAAGCTTCCTTTTTGAGTTTAAGCTCACCAAAGATTTCACTGTTAAGCCAAGCTGGTCGCCTGCCATATTTGCTATTCTTTCTGCACATCGGGATGGTTTGTTCCTGCGCCCTCAATAAGGCTTCTTTAAAATACAGCCAGATCTCCTGGACAACTTTCCCCCCTCATATTAGCCTCCCAGGGGATCCTGTCCATCAGTTCCCTGAGGGAGTCAAAGTCTGCTTTTCTGAAGTCCAGGGTCCATACTTTGCTACTCTCCTTTCTTCCTTTTGTGAGGATCCTGAACTCAACCATCTCATGGTCACTGCTGCCTAGGTTGCCACCCACTTCTACTTCCCCTACCAATTCCTCCCTGTTTGTGAGCAGCAGGTCAAGAGGAGCACGGCCCCTAGTTGGTTCCTCCAGCACTTGTACCAGGAAGTTGTACCCAACACTCTCCAAAAAGTTCCTGGATTGTCTGTGCATTGCTGTATTGCTCTCTCAGCAGATGTCAGGGTTATTGAAGTCCCCCATTAGAACCAGGGCATGTGATCTGGAAACTTCAGTTAGTTGTCCGAAGAAAGCCTCGTCTACCTCATCCTTCTGATCTGGTGGTCTATAGCACATGCCCACCATGACATCACCTTTGTTGCTCTCGCCTCTAAACTTAACCCAAAGACTCTGAACAGGCTCTCTTAGGCCTGGTCTATACTACCCGCCTGAATCGGCGGGTAGAAATCGACCTCTCGGGGATCGATTTATCGCGTCTCGTCGGGACGCAACAATCGATCCCCGAATCGGCGCTCTTACTCCACCAGGGGAGGTGGTAGTAAGAGCTGCCGGCGGGAAGCCGCAGAAGTCGATTTTGCCGCCGTCCTCACAACAGGGTAAGTCGGCTGCGATACGCCGAATTCAGCTACGCTATTCACGTAGCTGAATTTGCGTATCTTAAATCGACTCCCCCCTGTAGTGTAGATGTACCCTTACATACAGTGCAACTCCTCCACCTTTCCTCCTGTACCTCTCCTTCCTGAACAGTTTATATCCATCCATGACAGTGCTCCAGTCATGTGAACTGCCCCACCAAGTTTCTGTTATTCCAATCACATCATAGTTCCTTGATTGTGCCAGGACTTCCAATTCTTGCTGCTTGTTTCCCAGCCTTCTTGCGTCCATGTACATGCACCTAAGATAACTAGCCGATTGCCCTACCTTCTCAGTATGAATCAGGAGGCTTCCCATCTTGTACCTTTCTCCTTGTGTTTCCTCACAGTATCCCATTTCCCCACTCCTGCTAATACATCCCAGAATGCTGTTTGCATTTTCCCAACAGTGTTACACTGTTGACTCATATTCAGTTTGTGATTCACTATAATCCCCAGATCCCTTTCCGCAGTAATTTCCTATTCGGTATTTGTGCTAAATTCCATCATTTAAGAACAGGGTTAATGACCAAAGCTGGGTTTTTCATGTTAATCTCCTGAGTATTTACATTAATCAAATAGCAAAGTTTACGATTACATCCCTGAGACCAAGGGGAAGAACCCTGGTTATCGCACTGGCTGGGGGTGTAAAAACATCACATAAATAATCCATAAACCATGGCCCATCCTGCAGCAGAACCGTTCCCATGTACTGATTTCACATCAGGAAACAGGTTCTGTCCATCACTCCAGGCTGTTACCTTGCCCAGTGCTGCCAGCAACCGGAAGTCAATAGTCTGCCGATGCCTCAGGATCCGGAGAATTCCATCCAGATACACTTGATCCTTACTGAAACAGCCTGGAAGAGAGTAAGGAGGAGAAGTGGGAGCCCAGCCACCTCCCAGCATGCTGGCTGCTGCGGACCTAATTTTCATCCCACTCTGGTGCAAATCAACAGCATTTCAACAGACGTCAGCTGAGGGGTGTCTGCACTTGGCGCGAGGGGAGCAGTGCCCAGCTCACACAGACATACCGTGCTGGCTCTCGTCAGCTAAAAGGATCACAGTGCAGCCGCAGTACAAACCCGCCCAGCCCCCCTGGGTTTGTACATGGGTAGCCAGTGCTGCTGTGGCTACACTCCTGCTTGTAATGCGCTGGCTCGACGAGCACTACCGTGAGTACGTCTACACACGCTCAGCACTGCAGCCCTAGCTCCAAGGGTAGGCAGCCCTTAGAGTTAGACTAGGACAGAGCTGGTGTAAGTGAGGTCAGAAGCAAGTCCAATGGGCTGGGGTCAGTACTAGGACCAGTGGTCTCCAATATATCCATTACTGACCTGGAAAAGGGGGTGAAGAGTGAGGAGATGAAATCTGCGTAGGAGAAAATTAAAGCTATCACTGTAAACTATAAGGGGTTTCCTGGGCCTGCTTGCAGGTTAGGGGGCTCTGAGAGAAGCTGTGTGGTCTGGTTTCTTCAGACCAGTGGTTCTCAACTTGTGGTCCAGGGACCCCTAGGGGTCCGCAGACTATGGCAAAGATCTCCAAAGGGGTCCGCACCTCCATTTGAAATTTTTAGGGGGTCTACAAATGAAAAAAGGTTGAAAACCACTGTTCTAGACTCTCCTTTATACTCCAGCTCAGCAGGTTTCTGTGGACAACACAAGCTTAAGCATGGTAAATGTCGTTTTTCCCACCAACGTTAGGAAAACAGCCCTCTGTTTATCAGTATCCTCTATAGCATATGTGTAAAAATACTGCTCAAGTCTCTGAATGTATGTTGCAAAATCTTCCTTTTTCCCCCCCATTAAATTGGAAACTCTCCAGACTGCAGTAGGCAGCCATTTTATCTCTACTCTTCATCATCCTCTTTTATTTTTCTTTCCTAAAGAAGCCGTCCCAGCATTCTCTGTTATGTTCACAGCGCGCGCACACCCACCCACCCACCAGAAATACTCTTTCTGCAGGCTGCCATGTAGTGCTACGTCATTTCTTAGACTGTCTACACTTGGAGCTGGGGCGCAGCTTGAGGAGAGACGGTGCTAAAACCAGAGCGTAGCTGTGGCAGTGCGAGCTGCAGGACGGACCAGCCACCCCTGAGTATGTACCTGTCTGAAAGTCTGGCGCATACTCAGCATGCCTAGCTCATGGCTACAGTTGATTTGTAGTGTGCTAGCTGGGTGAGAGCTACCTCGAGCTGGGAATCACACCCCTAGCTGCACATTTAGATGTACCCGTAGAGTTCAGATCCCAAACCCAAAACAACCAAAAAAACCCAGAGAGAGACGAAGCAGGCTGCTCCCTAAGACAGAGAGAGGCCTAACTCACCCCACTTTGCTCTAGGCTGGCTTTCCACAGACTGACTGCTGCTATGCCCAGATCACACACTTCCCTACCGAGCCCCCTAGCCTGCAAGCAGGAGCAGGAAACCTGTTATAATTTAAAGTGGTAGCGCTGGTAATGGTAACAGTTTTCAATACCCCACAAGTGACGCACTAGTAGAGGACTCTTTAATCTAGCAAATAAAGTCAGAACAAAATCCAAGGCCTGGGAGTTGAAACTAGATGAGGGTAATTAACTCAGGGAGGGATAGCTCAATGGTTTGAGCATTGGCCTGCTAAACCCAGGGTTGTGAGCTCAATCCTTGAGGGGGCCATTTAGGGAGCTGGGGCAAAAATCAGTCTGGGGATTGGTCCTGCTTTGAGCAGGGGGTGGGACTAGATGATCTCCTGAGGTCCCTTCCAACCCTGATATTCTATGGTTCTATGATTAACCGTTGAAAAAACTGACACAGAGGTGTGGTGGATTCACTGTCACCTGAAGTCTTTAAACAAAGACAGGGGCAGCTGCTCAAAAGTATTCCAGTGCCTATCTCCCAGTGAAACCAATGGGAGTCAAGCGCCTAAGTCCCTCTGAGTGATGGGGCTGCTACAGGGATCCCTGGTGACATTCTCCAGCTATGTATGCAGGAGGGCAGAAGGGATGGTCACAGTGACCCCTCCTAGCCATTAAATCTATGAAAAGCATGAGCAGCGGCAGTGCTCTTTGTAATCACAGTATTTCAACGACTGTCTACAAGGGTTTTGAGTGTTAAGGGTAAGTATCTGTCCGATAAACACACAGGCTGGTTCCCCCGTCTGTGACAACGACTGGGAGCTGTTACTATCACCCAAGTTCAGGGCTCCGGCTACCGTAGCGCTGCCTTGTACTCTGCGTAACACTTCCCGAAAAGCCCTGGACAGACCCAACTCTGCAAGTGCTACAGCAAAAAGGTGCCGGCGTGGGGTTTTCAGATGAGTTGTGCACAGAGACCCCATATCCCACATTCCATCTAGTCAGTTTCCCTGTTACCCCTCTACAGTCAGCCAGTTTCTCCTCTGGCTCATGTGGGTCTCTCACACAGCCAAATGACAGGGGCTGGGCTAGGACCTGAGGCTACTTTTTAAACTCATTTTTGCAGAGGACTTAAAGGGTCACCTTCAAAGCTAGTCAGAGCGACACAAGAAAGGGAGAACTCTTCAGGGAAGACCACCCCCCCCCCCCCCGTTCAGGATGCCCTCTTCCCCAGCCACGTGCGCTCAGGTTAGAAAGGAGTTGCTGGCAGGGGCCACCACGGACTCCACCAGCCAAAGCAGGGCCCAGCTGTGACACCACAGCCTTGTACAGTTCTCATGCTGGACCCTGTGCTGATGAGTGTCTGCACCATCCCCCTCCTGCCACCTGCCCTCCACGCTCACCCTCCCTTTCCTGCCAATCCCCACCTAAAACAGCAAGTCCCCAGCCCTGCACACACCCAGCAAGAGACCCTCCATGCTCGGATGAGACAAGCTGGAACATAGGGCAGGAGAACAGAGACTCACCCTTGGGCAGTAGCAGAGCTGGGAACAGACCCCAGCCTCCCAGCCCAGTGTCTTAACCACCAAGTCCCATCCCCACCCACGGGCCTGGCTCTGCCGTGGCGCTATCTGCCCACCTGGCTGTGAGGTGTCAGTCTGGCCTCGTTTTGCCCGCACGCAGTAGTCCCACCGGACCCGGGCGTCTTGGACGTACTGCTCCAAGTGCTGGAAGAGCGCACTGAAGGACATGTGACTGGCCTGGTGGACGGTGTAGTACAGCAGTGCTGCCCGCCACAGAAAGGGCTGCTTACGGAAGAGGACACTGTGCAGACTAGCCAGGCCTTCTTCTGTGGGGTTAGCAGGCTTCAGGCCGTACCGCTTACGGCCCTCCATGCTGTGCCAAGGCTGGCGGGCATTATTCACCCCACGGATGTAGTGAGTGCCTAGAGAAGACAATGGAGAGAAATTAGTCAGCTACAACCCGTGTCTCACGCACCCTGTGCAAATCCCCTGGGCAATGGGGCTAGGAAATCAGGAGCATTGGGGGGAAATCATTCCCCACATTGATAAGGGCCATGGCAAACTCCCCCTACCCCACAGCTGCTCTTTCAGCAGATAAAAGTCTAAGAAAAGCTGGTCTCTCTTACCAACAGAAGTCGGTCCGATAGAAGGTATTACCTCCCCCACCTTGTCTCTCTGACAAAACCTCTTGACATTTGAGCTTCTCCCTCAGAGCTAAGGGCACAGCAGCCACTGGCTATGCTCTAGGACTAGTGGCAGGAGGGCTGGAATAATACTCAATTAATCCTTTGATATCTAAACTGTCCCCCGGGGCCAGGTGGCTTCACTGCTGGGTTCAACAAACTTTTACAAACTCTAGGCTCCATGGTTCAATAACTAGAAATGAACAAGCCTCCCTCAGGCCTCTCTCTAGAGCAGTGCTTCTCAAGCAGGGATCTGGGGCCCCCGGGGAGGGCAGTGAGCAGGTTTCAGGGGCTCCGCCAAGCAGGGCCAGTGTTAGACGTGCTGGGGCCCAGGGCAGAAAGCTGAAGCACCACTGTGCAGGGCTGAAGCCCGGTGCCCCGAGCCCCGCCACCTGCGGCTGAAGCCTGAGCAACGTAGCTCTGCGGGGCCTCCTGTGGTTTGGGGCACTGGGCAATTATCCTGCTTACTCCTCTCTAACGCTGGCTCTGGCTTTTAGATGGCATTGGTGGGCCGTGGAGTTTTTATAGCATATTGGGGGAGGCCTCAGACAGAAAAAGGTTGGGAATCCCTGCTAGAGCCCTACACCCGCACTTCGGACGCCGAGGTGGCACTGGCACCCCTTCCAATGTGTGTCTCCTCCTTGATCGTCAGGTTTCTCCTTGCCATCTCCCATCCTAGCCCTGCGAAAGCACCTCCTGGGAGGGGACACCTTTGTCTGAGAGCTCTGCATGGTCTTTCAGTGGGCACTGAATGAGGCAGGGTCCTATGGAAAAAGTAGCATGTGCGCTTCTGTAATTAAAGCCTGTATCCTAATGCATATGCACAAGGAGACCAAAGGGAGGTTGGAGGGGGAGCCCTAACTCTGGTGCTTCTGAAGGCTTGATTTTGCAACCCTAGTTTAATGAATCATAGAATATCAGGGTTGGAAGAGACTTCAGGAGGTCACCTAGTCCAACCCCCTGCTCAAAGAAAGACCAATCCCCAGATTTTTGTCCCAGATTCCCTAAATGGCCCCTTCAAGGATTGAACTCACAACCTGGGGTTTAGCAGGCCAATGCTCAAACCACTGAGCTATCCCTCCCCCATGTGTAACTGTGTGTAACTATAGTGGTAGTGCTCCTACGCTGTGCTAACACCGCCCTAACACCATCCTGCCCTGTCCTAATACTACACTAACACCTTTTCAACTAATTCCAGCACTCGCGTTAACCCTCCCTCACAGCAATGGGCACGGCCGAGAGTGCTTCGGCTCTTCCAGCCATCAGTGCCATGTGTTCAGTGCCACCTGGGGGGAGGTCCTGCTCCCCAATGGACACGGCTTCCAAAAGGGCTCTGTGCTTGCTGCCAAGGGGCAACTCCCCCATGGGGATCACAGAGGCCTTTGAAGAAGGGCCATTTTGCAATGAAAAAAATGTCCACTGTGAAAAATTCTGAGCAGTTTTTCTTGGCGTCCTACCCCCGCCTGCTGCCCTAACCGACCCCCTCTGTGCCTCCCTCCCTCGGCATTCTCCATGTAGTGCCGAGTCCTCAACCCGCCGTTGTGCAGAGCCAGCTCCAAGGGGTCCTGGCACTGGAAACAGTCAGGCTCTGCAGCCCCTCACCACCTCTGGCTCTTCTCCTCCCTCCCTCCTATCGTCAGTAGCTTTGAGAGGTTGAGGTGCTCCCAGCTCAGGGTGTTATTTCCAGGGTGGTTACCCCAGAGGCCTATAGGGAAGGACGACTGCCTCCCGGCTCTGTGACATGATAGGCTCCAGCCTCCTTCTGCCTACCCCACCCCACAAAGGCCATGCAACATGCGGCTCCATCTTATTCCCTTTCAACAGCAGGAGCGTTAGTTCCAGGCGAGTCCCTGTGCGGGTCCACATCCCCGGCGCCCCGCATGGCCCATGCCTCCAGCCCGGCTCTGACCTATTTCATGGCGCAGCATGCCCTCCAGCCAGTATTGCCGGGCTCCGGCCAGGTTAATCGCCAGGGTGGGCCGGCTGTTCTCCACCATCATCACGGCTTGGGACAGCAGATCCTCAGTCAGATGAACGACCACCTGGGGGCAGATGGAGAATAAGGGTCAGGATGATGGCATGGTCACAACCGGCAGCCCCATGCACACCTAGGTGATACTGTGCACTCCCAGAAGGACTATCAAAATTTAGGTGGGCTATTATAAGACAAAAGCTTTGTTAACTGCCCAGTCCACTCATGGAGCAGTACGTGCCGGCCTTGTCCATTGGCTTTGAATGCTGGGAGCGGGAAACAGAAATAGTTGATGGGGAGATTTTTCATCTCTTCGCTGTTTGAACTCTCACAGGACCAGAGAAGACAAACTGAAGCCAGAGATCCCCAGGGGCTACCTCCTGGGTCTGCCCTGAAAGGCACTTGGAATTGACAGATCACTACAATTCTGTCACTCTCAGAATCTAGATGATAACTCATTTCTGTGTGTTGTTTGCTTGCTTTAACCTGTAAGTAACTCATTTCTTTTTCCTAGTTCATAAACCTTTAGATAGTTTATTACAGGATTGGGACAGGCATTGTCTTTGGTGTAAGATCTAGGTACCAATTTATCTGGGCTAAGTGACTGGTCTCTTGGGACTGGAAGCAGCCTGAATGTGGTGTAATTTTGGGTGTAAGTGACCATTTATCACTAAGTTCAGTTTGTCTGGGTGGCAAAATAGACTGGAGAGTCTCACAGGACTGTCTGTGCCCCCATTGGAAGACTGGTATGGTGATCCAGGAGTTCACATTTGGTACTGAGTCGGTGAAATCTAATTATAGAACATACTAGCAGTTTGGGGTGTCTGCCCTGTTTTTGACAGTCTGCCTTGAAGTAGGCACTCACAGTCGTGAGCCACTCCAGGCAGTGTGACAACTTCTTCTTGGAGCCGTTAGTCCTGGAGTCCACAAGGGGCGGGGGGGGGGGGTGTTTCTGGATTTAGTCCTGAGTGGCACAGGATCTGGTCCAAGAGGTGAACAAAGCTGGAACTGCTCAGTAATAGCAACCACAATGTAATTAAATTTAACTGTCTTGTAGGGAGGAAAATACCAAAGAAACCCACCACCGTAGCACTGAACTTCAAAAAGGGGGACTACACAAAAACAAAGAATCTAGTTACATGGAAATTAAAAGGAACAGTCACAAGAGTGAAATCCTTGCAAGCTGCTTGGAAACTTTTTAAAAACACATAGTAGAAGCTCAAACTACACCTCTACCCCGATATAACATGACCCGATATAACACGAATTTGGATATAATGCGGTAAAGCAGTGCTCCGGGGGGGGGGGGGGGGGGGGGGGTGGTGGTGTTTCTGGATTTAGTCCTGAGTGGCACAGGATCTGGTCCAAGAGGTGAACAAAGC